ACTATAAACTAAATATATATAATTTTATTGAGGCACTGCCTTAATATTTTGAGTGAATACCTGGGAATGTAAGGAGGCGTGCTGTCTTGTTTAGTGTGAGATGTTAATCTTGGGCATAAAACGGTAAGATTTTTAGATTGTTAAAATTAAGCAGAAATTCACTAGTGCAAAAATGAAGTGCTGCACTAATACACGTTTGGATTTTTAGAAAACGGCAACTGCTGTTGCCCACTGCAAGAGAGGAAATGGCCTCATTAAAGTGAATGGAAGACCTCTGGAAATGATTGAGCCCAGAACTCTGCAGTATAAAGTAAGCATCCACCCAGCCTCCCCCTCCACCCTTGGATATTAAAGTATTATTATACACATAATTGCTTGGCGGTGGAGAATAATTGCTTGCCTTACTGACAGTACTAAATTTTTGGTTGTGTGTTACCTGATCACTTGAAATGTACATGCTGTTGTGAAAATTCAGAAAACTGTCTTTTTATGATTGTCTTGTTGGGAGAGGCGGGGTTTTTTTGCTTAATTGGTTTAATGTATATTAATATAATGTGAAGTATTTTTAACACTTTGCATCCATTTTTTAGATTAAAATGGGTGACTTAAAACCTTCCTTTTTAAAAGATTCTTTAGGACTTAATACAGTAACTGAACACTGCTGAGAGAATATAAAACTGACTAGATAAAGTGTAATAAACAGTGTAGAAAACCACCCACAAATTACTTCAGATCTTCAATTTTATTGAATTGATTGCTTGGTTTATTTTGCTAGTGCTGATGTAATCATGGCATTCTACTTAAACTATTCCCTTGCTCTTAATTCCTGTGTATGTATGCTTTGTGTTAAGACTTCGGAAACTTGAAAAAAATATTCAAGACTTCAGTAAGTTTATTTTTTACAACAGTAAAATAAGCTAGTAAAATAAACTTTGACTAGTAGCTGTCAACTACTGCAAGATGTGTGCTTAACTTGGGTGTGTGCTTGTAAAATCAAGGCTCCATTTTTCAGAACATTGAATAACTTCACATTTGGTAAACCTACTACAAGCTCTAATCCTTGTTGTCTCTGATCACAAATTAATTTTCTTACTGTGTTTTGTTTCTCAGCTGCTTGAACCTGTCCTCCTCCTGGGGAAGGAACGGTTTGCTGGTGTTGACATCAGAGTCCGTGTAAAGGGTGGTGGCCATGTAGCACAAATCTATGGTATGATTTTGTGTGGGATCTTCGGTGTGGGCTGGAACAAGTCAAGCCACATATTTAAGAAGCTTGAGTTTAGAATAGTAACTTGCGCATCTCGACGTTCTGTTTCTTTTTCACTTATTATTAAGGGCTTATTGGTTGTATTTTCTGTGCGGAGCTGTAACATCTAGAGTAAATTGAATGAAGTAAATTGATTAAATTCTGAGGAAATGTGAGGAAACGATCTTTCTGTCTTGTAGTGTGACAGGACAAGTTGAAGCTCAGCTGAGCAGAAAGATTTTGGGAGGGGAAAAGGGGATTTATCATTAGAAATATTACCTTTAGTTGTACAACATTTCCATGTTGTTCAGAAGCATCTTTCAGTTGACCTGCAAAGCTAGGTAGTTTTTTCCCTTGCAGAGCAGATTGAGAATATACTTGCATTAGCTGTTGTAGAGTTGCTCTTAACAAGTTATCGATTTGTTCTGCTCTTACAGTTTGGATATAGGTTAGTGAAGTGGAGCTGAAGCTGCATGAAGAGCAGTGACATGTTTCAGTCTCAAAGTTGATTGCATTCATTTTTTCAGAAAATTCAGATTTTCACCAAAGTCCTGATCTTAGTATTCTGACAGATAACAGCCTAACAAAATCTTTACAGTTATGCCAGTACTCCTGGTTTGAGTTCTGATTACTGTGTTACTATGCTACAGGCTTGTTTTATTGAGGTATGCTAGAAGAACTGCTCATACCATCCTGTGGTCCCTTTTGCCTCCTTAGTCTTTGAACATACTGATCAATTTTATCTTTGTTGAAAAGTATAGACATTTCAGAGAATTGGGTTTCTAAGGATTTTGGAAGTTGACCGCTTGTAGGTAGAAGGTGAACCTACATTAGTACTCTGAAGAGAAGGTGATCGACTGCCCTTGTACAATTCCTTGGCTAGCTGGCTGTTGTCAAATCAACAAATGAACTGTGGGTGGCCTCTTGGCACAGATTTCTTCAGATTTGCCAAAGTAAAGGTTACGTGGAGTATGTGGGAGGGAAGATTAAGGAGGGAAAGGATAATTTGGCAGAAAACAAGACAGCAGGTTTCTCGGATAACTGGCACTTTGTGTTTAACTTTTAAATACATTTGCGATCCTTACTGATCCATTATCTTTTTTTAACAGCTATCCGTCAAGCTATTTCCAAAGCATTGGTGGCTTACTATCAAAAATGTAAGTTGTTTTGATTGTTGTGTTAGCCTTAAGTGGAAATGTATAGCTTGTGGTGCAAAAAAAGTTAATACGGATTTGTTCCATGTGAAACTTCTTAAACTTAAAAAAGATTTTTTAAAATTTTTTTTTTTAAACAGATGTTGATGAAGCTTCCAAGAAAGAGATCAAGGATATTCTCATCCAGTATGATAGGACTCTGCTGGTTGCAGATCCTCGCCGTTGTGAATCCAAGAAATTTGGAGGACCTGGTGCTCGTGCGCGCTACCAGAAGTCTTACCGTTAAAATTGTTCTACAGTCATGCGACAGTCAATAAACATAAAAAGAATTTGATAAATTTCATTTTTCTAAATTGTATTTTTCTTTGTGGGTAAATAGGTTTTTCACTATGTGTTAACTTGAGATTGATACACAAATTGATCGGTATTAAAGTAAAATCAGAGGGCTGTTGGCAGTTCTCTTTTATCTCTTCATAGTAAGTAAGTCTAGATAGATAGGGTCTGGGGAATAAAGAAGAGCTTTCTCTTGTTGATGAATGTGTGGTTGTCAGAACAGAAAGAAGGCTTACATCCTGTTTTTTTGTGGGTAAATGCAACAGTGTAGCAGTTCATTAAAGCAGAGTTCAATCTTCACCTTTCTGGTAAATCTAAACAAATGTGGACCTTTTCCAGTACCTGGATGGCCACTCTTCATGGTGTTATGAACCAATGTGAGTAGCCCATGTTCTTGCCACGTGAAAATGTCTGTCTCAGCCTGGCTACAGACTTAGTCCATAATGCAGGAGAGTGTGGATCTGACTCCTAGCTGGTAACTTGTGTATTATGTGACTTGGCTTTAGTATGCCGCCCTGGCGTAATGCAGCATGTTAACATATCTTCCCGCATACACTTCAGCGCTGACGGTTCGTGTTCTTGCAAAGGATTTCTCCCTTCCTTGTATATTCACCTGAAATACCACACTGAGAGTGACGTTCCAAACACCACTATGGAATATTATACGGCAGTGAGTATTGTCCATCTGCATGAACTGCTTTTGTTTGTGCTTGCTTAGTGGTTAGTGGCAAGGAATTTGCCCCTTGAGGGTAACTCCCTCAAGATAGTGCTAAAGTGGGTATTCAGGCAGCTGTTGTAATGTTCATATGTAAAGTTTACATTGTCAAAACCAGAGTAAGTAATGGGGGCAGGGGAGGGAGGTTTATTGAACTCTTGCCATACCAGATAATACACAGGCAGAGTTTTCTGGCTTAGTATGTCTAAATGTAGGAAACTTTTTTTTTCTTTAAATAACAAATCCCATATATTCTGTTTGAAAAATAGTATCTTGTAAATGTAAAACATAAAAAGGATTCTGTGTTACAAGTAAGATTGGGTCTAAATTATTCATTCTTCAACCACATGTTCACAGAGTACAAGCACAAAGGGATGTAGACCTGGAGAACAACATTAAATGATTTAATAAAAAGAAATCCCTGTGGAAGTCACAGTTGCTTATGTCATGAGCTAGGTGAGGCAATTTGAAGGCCTTAGGGAAGTAAGTGGCAAAAACCTGGAGTTGAAAATATGACAATAATTTTCAAAGGTCTAGCTAGTGTGTATGTGTATCACACATGAAAAGAAATGTTGGAGAAGTTCCAGTTTCTTGTCCAATGAAACTAAAGACTTTTGTTCTGGAAGTGATCTCCCAGGCACAAAGAAGAGTAAAGTTCTGAGTAAGACGTGGGATGTGCCGACAAAAGGGAAGGCTAATTCTGTCCCTTGGAAGAGTTGCAAGTAATTGAATGGGGCCTTGGATATGGGCTGACCCAAGAGGCATGGGAACAGCCCTGGACTGTTGTTTGAAAACCAGTTTGGAGAGGAACTGGAAGAAACGTTGGAGACTAAGCAACTGAGAGCCTAGCTTCTGCTGTATCGCTCTCCAAGCCTGGTATTTTTGTGTCATTCATTGTACACCAATACTGAAATCTCACCTTGATACTTAAGATTTTTGTTGGGCTTTCTATTGCTGTGGTATTTCTTCTCTCACTTGTTTAATGGTAGGTCATTTCAGCGTACTGGGTCAACACAAAGTTAAACTGGCTTCCTTTATGAGTTGGGTTGGGGAACTGGAAAGAATAGTACAATTTTGCCCTTTTGCTCTAGTTTAGGAAAGCTCGTGGCTTTTTGTAGATGTTAACATTTGTTATGATGTCTCTGCTTTTTCTGTAGAAAGGCATTTAAGGCATCTTCACTGAAGTGTAGTTATTCAAGAGTTAAACATGTAGCTTGAACAAATTCCTTCTGAAAAGGAATTCTCCATCCATCTCCCATTTTAGCTGTCAGCATCTGCCACAAAATACTGCATTACATGACCTGAATAGAACACTCTTGGTCAAATCCCTCACACTCCCATGGAAGTGGAGGGGACTGTTGTATATTCTATATCCAATTTACATACCAGGATTTTTTGTCTTACACTAAGTGAACAAGATATTCTATTCCAGACACTTGCTGTCTCTTTGGCAAGGTGCATGGTTTGCTTTCCTCAGTCCCCTCCTTCTGCACCCTTAGATCTGACCCATTTCTCATCCAGTGAGTTCCTCAGAGTTTCTACCTTGTAGTAGAGTTGCTCACCAGCTCTTGGGCTGCTGAAAACTGCGATGTTCTGTCTCCTAGCCTGGCTTTCTAAGGAAAAGATGCTGTGCAGGGTATCTTCAAATTTGATTACTTGAATTCTTACGAGTTTTGTGAAAATGGCATCCTGATAGATGTTAATTAGCTTCAGCTGAGGAAATAAAATCTTTTTAGCTGTTTGGCTCGTGTGGTGACTGAAAAGCAATGGCTCGTTCATTGCTTAGGAAATGTGTACTGGCCTGCCAGTTGGCACATACATACCCTGTGCTGTGGCTTGTCCAAAACTGATTCTTTCCTAGCTGTTAGAGCAGTCGGGTGCAGGGAAAAAGAGAGGACACAAAGTTACTGTGGTGTGAAACTCGCGGGGTGGGGGGGGGGCAGGAGGAGATGCAATACTTGATGCCAGTAACCTTAGGGGTGGATTTCACAGTTACAGGGAAACCTCATGTATCAGTTTTTCTGCCCACAGAACAGCTTGTAACAATTGGGGATTTTTGTTTTGCTGTTCTTTCATGGAAAGGCTGAAAATAAAATTTGCGTTGCTACTAATATATCCAGAGATGATATCTGCATGTCATTTCTTCAACCAAAAGGCTCTTAGCATAATAAAAATGCTTTCTGAACTGAACTCTGATACTATAAAAATGCCCTATTAATTCTGTAGAGTGATGTCATCCCCACAGACCTGCTTTCTAAATGAGAAATGTTCATGGAATCGGGCTGGTGTCTGCCTGGGTGGCTGAAGATTTTTATTCTAAATGGTTACTTGCTGATCACCCACTAGAGGGCTTAACTTCATTGGGGAAGCATAACTACCGTGAAGTTAGAAGGTGTAAAGGAGAAAACCTGTTCATAAAAATGTTTCCTTTGCTGATGTCCTGATTCTGCAGGGATGGCAATCAAGCTCTTACCATGGAGCATTCGCTCTGGCCAGAGACACACTTCCATGGAGAAATAGTGGCTGTTTGATCTTCAAGCCCGTAGCGAGGTTCTTGAGCAGCTGTGGAGGTGGTTCTTGGAAAAGAAGAAATCTCGTATCATCCAGCTCTTTCATTAGTTTCACTGATGCTAATCCTTAGGAAAGTCAGGTGCGCATGTCAAAATGTGAAGCCTCACTTGAATTCTTTGTTGAAAATGCCAGTTCAATGAAGGCTGGAGCGCGAGCTCTAAGAAGTACCATGTTTTGTTAATGATGACAGTTAATTGGATCCAATTCCAAACCAGGGCAAGCTTGTACCCATGGCACTAAAGGCGGTTATTTTCTCACCCATTGTTTACAATCCTGATGATAAACCGTGTAACCTGTATATAAAATTAAGTCCTTTCAAATGTTATGTTGGAAAATTTGGGGCAAATTAATTTTGACTGTAATATACAAATATATTAACATTCAAATGTTTAAATTTTATTTTTAAAGAAAAACTTGTAACTTAAAAATGTAACACTAGCATTTTTTAAGTATGGACCAGTGTGTTCTGTATTGTGTTTGTTTTCTTACAAAAGTGATTATTTTCTAATTCATTTTTCTGTTCAAATTTTTCGGAAGTCCCAATCTGTGAGTATTCTACTACTTGTGTAGATAATGTGTGTCATTGCCTCGATATAATTTGATTCAAATTTTTTTTATCTCTTTCTTAGTATAGTCCTCTGAGTTATAGTTAAGTGTACTTGAGTGTAGTTGGCTGAATAATTTTTTTTCCTTATTAGCCAACATCCTTCATGTGCTTGGGACTGTGTTGTTTCCTACCCTGCCTTGAGCAGAGATATCCAGACCTAATGAAACCTATTGCTCTCTTACAAAGTCCCTTTGCATCCGATGAGGCTTGGCCTACTTTTTAAATATTGGAAGTTAAACAACTGTGAAATACTAACATCCACCAAATAGTCCCTCAACCTTGCTATAGACACCAAATAGTCCCT